AATGCATATTTATTGAGAGAATGCTGTACACCAAGCATTGTGATGAATATTGGGGTTATAATAGCAAGACAGACAGACATGATGATCCTGCCCTTGAAAAGCTTATAGTCTCCTGAGGGATACAGACAGATGAAAAAGCAGTTGCACTAGGGTGGTAAGCACGCTGATGAGATACTTTGGGAGAATATGGAAGGGGAACCTAACCAAGCCTGGGGTTTAGGAAGGCTTTCTGGAAGGAAGTGACCTCTAATCCGAGACCAGAAGGCTGAGTAAGAGTTAGCCAGATATTTAACTTCTGGTCATGATGGAGTAGCAGGGACCAGATTTATTCTCCCAACATAAGTGCTAGAACACTAGACAAAAATATATGAACAGTGTTTTCAGATATTGGACAAGAAGTAGCTCAGAAATGCCTGAGAGAGAAGGGACATGAAAGAGGTAAACTCCATACTTGCCCTGAATTGCTTTCTAGAGGCAATTTCCAGACAACAGAGCTGAGAGAGAGAATCCAAGCAGAGCACAGTGGTCTTGCTAAGTTGATATGACAGAGATCAGAATTCAGGGTTGAGGTGACTGGAATCTGCTGGACAAAGTTCTGGAGAAGAGGGAGTTAGAAAGAAAATAACCTTCAGAAATCTGCATAAGGAAGGGGTCTCTTAAGTCTGCTGAACACAAGATGCACATGCCTAGGGTAAAACTTCACGAAGCCAGGCACCATGAGATACCGAAAGCACAGAGCGAACAGTTCCCAGACCTCACAGAGGTGTGGAGACAAGTCAAAGTCCACCCAGCCAGAGCGACAGTCAGCACTGAGCATGCAGGGATTCAGCAGAGGCCTCAGAGGGGCCATGCTTCACTACGGGGGTAAATTATTCTCTAGATTAAAGGTGACTCTAGACTAATGCTAACAGCGCTTAAAAACAAGCCTCAGCAGAACCTCAAGTAACTAAACTACCTACTAGGATAAAGCCCAACATTCTTAAAGGAGGGGAAAAAAATCCAGTTACTCAACAACATAAAATTTACATTACAATTCAGTATCCAGTCAAAAATCACTAGTCATGGCAAGAAGCAGAAAATGTTCCCTATAAACTAGGAGGAAGATCAATTAATAGAATCAGACCCACAAATGACAGAGATGATGGAATTAGCAGACAAGGAAAACATGAGCACAGTAATGATGAAAATAAAAGATATGAGAAAGAACCAAACATCTAGAGATAAAAATTACAATATTTTAAATGAAAAATTTACTGGATGGAAATAACAGCATACTTGCAGAAAAAAGGATCAGATGAACTGGAAGATAGAGCAAAATAAACTAGTCAAAATGAAGCACAGAAAGAAAAAAACCTGGGCAGCTGGAGAAAAGGAACAGAACAGCTTTGGTGGCCTGTGGGGTAATATCAAGTGGTCTAGCATACATGTAATTTGAAATCCCAGAAGTTGGGGGGTGAAATTATTACATAGAATATAATAAAGATACTATATTCTAGTGATTAGAATTCTGCCTCTAAAAAAGTATTAGTGCAGCCAAAAAACCCCACACATTTTTATTCTCTCCTGAGGATATGTTTATTGATTTGAGAAAGGAAGAGAGATAGAGACAGAAAGAGAGAGAGAGAGAGTGAGAGAGACATCGATCAGTTGCCTCCTTTATACACCTGGATCAGAATGGAATACACAACTTTTTGTGTATTCAACCAACTGAACCACCAAAAAATTTTTATATGACTTATGATGTTATATTAAATATAAGGAACATATATTACCTAGAGTCAGATTGCCCCTGCCGTCTGGAGTTGAAAAATGGGCTCATATCATAATCCATATTCTTTCCCTCAAGTTTTTAAAAATATATATTTTATTGATTTTTTTACAGAGAAGAAGGGAGAGGGATAGAGAGTCAGAAACATCAAAGAGAGAGAAACATTGATCAGCTGCCTCCTGCACACCCCCCACTGGGGATGTGCCCACAACCAAGGTACATGCCCTTGACCGGAATCGAACCTGGGACCCTTCAGTCCGCAGGCCGACGCTCTAGCCACTGAGCCAAACCGGTTAGGGCTCTCAAGTTTTTTTTTGAATTCTCAGAAAATGAGCAGATATATCACAAACCGGTTAGGGCTCTCAAGTTTTTTTTTTGAATTCTCAGAAAATGAGCAGATATATCAAACAACTCCTGCTGAGATGAACAAGTGTGGTACGCTTGTGACTCTCTATTACATGTGGCAGTATCCTGCCAGATGCTGCCAGCTGTGGCCCCTTTCTCAGCTCCACTCCCTACTCAGGCCCCTTACTCCTGATCTCTCTGCCATGGGACCAGCCATGGAGTAAGGTTCAGAGATGAACTAATAATGTCTGTTTTCACAAATTCATTGGCAATACTTTTTTAAAGTTGGAAGGTTAAAAGATTGTTTCTTAAAATCTCACCACACTGAAAGAGCTGCATCAAAATGCTAGCTGCCAGCAGGAAAAGATCGTGTCATGAAATCCATAGGAAAGGAATGTTTCAAAATCTGGGGTGATCAACAGTGTCTCCCCTGCTGCTGTGTGCATTAGATTTAGCTCAAGGCAATGATTGGTGACCTTGGCAAGAGCTCTCCATAGAGTTGGGGGAACAGAAGCCAGATTTTGATGGTTTGAATGGTGATAGGAGGGGGAAAGGTAAGTAAAGGATGTGAGTATGGACAAATCCTTTAAGTGGCCTTATTGTAAAGGAGACACGAACTATGGGATGGTAATTAGAGTGGGGCACGTTGATGAACGAGAGTGTTTTTAAAATAGGAGAAACTTATGGGTGTTTAAGCCCCTGCTTAGTAGCCAAATCCACACTCTCCCTCTGGACAACAGGAGCGCTAGCGCCCCAAATCTGTTTGTTTGGGTTGAATCCAGACTTGCTTCCTCTGAAGACCCCAAAGCAGGCTGTACACCCCGTGAGAAGAGGTGGGGCCCTTCATCAGAGGAAGGTTGGGTCCCATTAAAAAAACTAAAGAAGTAGTGATGCATCCTGGAACCATTTCCAGTTGTGCCATTTAAGGGGGACATGTAAGGGAGAGCCCTGGTGGGCGGCGAGGGGCCCTGTGAAGTTAGAACTGGGGTCAGGTAAGTCTGGAGGCTCTATTGCTTCCATCTCTGCCCAAGGTGATCAGCCACTTGGGGCTTCCCCAGTCCTTGGCTGCTTCCGGATGAAAAGAGCAGGGATTAGGAGAGGAACTGCCACCTGCACCTTTGGACAATCACCATGGCAACTGCAGGCCAGGTATTTTATTTCAGTCATTGCCTGGGAGCGGTCCTCCTACATGTCCTATTGGAAATGTTTTAAGCTCGTTATTGTACAGCTTCCTCCCCCCGCCCCCCCCCCTTAATCTTGCAAAACAAGTTTTGTCTAGTGTCTCTCTTTGATGCCCCGAAAGGACTTGCCCTGCGGTGTCTGAAATATGAGACTTTTCATGCAAGTGCACAACAATCTGAAATTGAAACTGATCCAGAGAGAGAGGGTGCTGGCAGTAGTGACAGGCAGGGAAGGTGTTCTGCAAGGTCAGAGCAGACTCAGGCCAAGAAAGTTTGCCTCTCCTGCTCCCGGCGTCAGGACATCTGCCACCTACCCCAGGATGCAGCAGGGAACATGGTCAACACCTGGACCAAGCAGACACAGGACCCAGGGAGCCTCACAAGGCAGCTTGGGCCACATGGACGACTCCTCCCCATCCAACCACAGAGCTGCTGGCACAGCCCTTTCCTGGAAGAATCACAGGCCCTTGTTGCAAGAGACAGAGAGAAAGAGAAAGAGAGAGAGAGAGAGAGAAAGGACCTGAGTCAAGAAAGAGGAGAAATAAGGACCATGGTATGAGGACAAGTAAGACTTCTAGTTTCTGGCTTGGTGCAGTGGCTCTCTGCCAGCTACATGCTGGAGTCAACTGTGGAGCTTATAAAAAAGACCAGTGCCCGGGCACCACCCTAGTAGATTCTAATTAAATTCAGTTGAGGTGCAGCCAGGGCACTGGTTTTTTTCCTGAAGTACTTCAGGTGTACGGAGAACCACTAGATGCGCAAGTAAGTGCTCAGGCTCTGCGGGCAGAGCCCCGGCTGCGGCCCTGAGTACCGTAGCTTCCTAGCTACTCAACATCGCTAAGCTTCCACGTCCTCCAGGGTGAAACAGTAGCTACCTAATGGAGTCGTGCAGGTGCTGAATGAAATAACGCACATCAAATGCTGGCCCTGTGCCAAGCAGGTGCTTAAGTGCTCAAAATGTTTTCTTGTTAAAGCAGCGGTTGCTACTCATTAGGATCCCAATGTGGAGATAGCTAAGTACTTCCCATGACAAGGGGCCAAGACCCACCCCTTGGCCTGGGTGGAACTGAGCGTAGTCAGTGACCAGCTGCTGGCGTTAGTGCTGGTTGCTCTGATGTTCTGGTCCCGTTCTGTTCATGCTGAAATGATGAAAATGTTCTATATCTGTGCTGACAGTATGAAGCCACTAGCCACATGGGGCTAATGGGTAGTGAGACCGAGAAACTGAACTTTTAATATTATTTAATTTTCATTAATTTGAAGTTAAATAGCGACACATGGCTGATATCTACAGTATTGGACAATGTAGCTCTAGACGTGTATGTATGTTGAGGATAAGAATAAAAAAAAAGACATAAAAGAAAAAAATAGCCCTTCTATTATCTCGCTTGAGCACCAAAACGTCCTAAAAGGAGAAATTGACAGGCACTTAGAGTCCTGTTTTATAGATGAGGAAACCAAGTCTCAGAGATGGTAAAAGACATGCCCTGGATTATAAAGAGAGCTAGAGGCAGAGCCCAGACCAGAGGGGCCAGATTTCTGGGCTGCAAACCCACGCTTCACCTGTTGGGAAAAGCGTTCTCTCCATGGGAGCATCTCACATCCACCCTCCAGCTCCTCCTGAGGTTTCAGAGCAGACCTTTTCTCAGCTCCCTGGCCAGGCTTCAAGCCCCCCCCCTTTCCCCACCCTCCCCCACGCTACCCACCTGGAAGAGCTCCTGAACCTTCGCATCCACCCACTGCTCCATGTCCAGCCAGCGCTGGAGGTGCCCCCGGTCATACTTCACCGTCAGCCGGCTCGGTCTCCGGGACCTGGACGCCTTGGACGGGTCGGGGTGGGACTTTGACTCTGAGTCTGTGGAAGACGTCCTCCTCTTCCCAGAAGCCCACTGGACCTTCTTACTTGAGTTCTCCCTGTCAGGGTTGGGGGAGGTGCAGGAAGCAGGGTTTGAAGACAGCATGGAAGGAATGGCCTGGGCAAGGAGCTGGGATAAACTGCCAGTCAGAGCAAGGTTGCCAGGGAAGTGAGGAAACTGAAAACAGGAGAGACCAGCAGGGAAGAAAGGTGGGAGGGGCAGGGGTCAAAGATCAACAACAGGTACTGGAAATGCCAGACTCCTGGCTGCCAGGGAACGGCACTCCTGAGCTGAGCTGTGCCCTAGCCTTCCTTTTTAGCAGGTGCAGAGGCTCAGTGTGACATAAACTGCAAATGAGCAAAGGTCAAGAGGGCGCCATGCCTGGGGAGGGAAAGGGGCCCTTGCTTGGGTCCTGAGGGGGTGGGGCTGTGATCTGTGCTCTGTGACCAGCTCTGGAACGGGACCAGAGTCACACTCATCTGAGAACCTGCTGCACTCCAGCGCCTGGGACTCGATCTACCTGCCGTCAGAGGGAGCCTGCAGGAGCGGTGTCCCTGGCAGGCAGGAGCTCCCGCTCAGAGGGTGGCACTGCAGGGATAGTCAGGGGGTGGCTATCTGTGGTCCTCATGGAGCCATCTCTCTTGTGTCTGGGTGTGTCTGCCTGGGAGCTGCCTTTAGGCATATGTGAGGAAGGGGCGCTCCTGTGTTAGCCGGGCCCTGTGTGCTCGCAAAGGCAACTTTATCGAGCTTGTCTCCAATTCCCTTTTTCCAGAGGCAACTGCTTAGGAAGCCATGTTTACCATCCCATGACCCTCCCCTGACTCACGTCCCTCCCGACAGAGGAAACCTGCAGACTAACTTTTACCCAGCTGTCAAGGCCTACGACTTCTACACATGCTTGCATTCCAAAGGAATGGTATTTTCGTTTGTTTAGTCCCTTGTAACAAAAATACCTAAACTTTTTAGAAAAGTTACAGAACACTAATTTTTTTAAAATTGATTTTTTTTAAAAAATATATTTTATTGATTTTTTACAGAGCCCCCACCGGTCGCCCGCAACCAAGGCACATGCCCCCGACCGGAACCAAACCCGGGACCCCCGAGTCCGCAGGCCGACGCTCCATCCACTGAGCTAAACCGGTCAGGGCTAAAATTGATTTTTAGAGAAAGGAAGGGAGAGAGAGAAAAACATTGATTTGTTGTTCCACTTACGCATTTATTGGTTGATTCTTGTATGGGCCCTGACCAGGGATCAAACCCACAACCTTGGTGTATCAGGACAATGCTCTAACCAACTGAGCTACCCAACCAGAGTTAACTTTTTTTTTTTTTAATGAAAAGCTCAGAAGGACAAACAAATGAAAGTGAAACTTTCTCTTCTTTCCCCAACTCCTCTCCCCAGAGGCAACTGCCATCAACAGCTTGTCTTTAGTTCTCCTGTGATCACCATTATCCTTTTATGCAACACCATAAATGTGTCCGTTTTAGACAGTATCTCTTATCTCCTTAATCTGAAGGATGAGAAATTAACTCCCTCACACTAACTCCATCTCCTTTACTTTCCACATTCCCATTTTTATTTATATATCACTTTTGAGGTCTGGTAGCAGTTGCTTTTATGTTGAGTTTCTGTTTCCCATGTATGGATTTCAACCATCATACTGTACACGGACTCCTAAAAGACAGCTTTAGACAGAGGCCAACCGATGAGTCTTTAGGTCCAACTTTAGGCCCTGGAAAAGCCCAGGCGTTGAAGGAAGACTGACAGATCTCAGTTCCAACTCAACTTTGCCTTGCATCGGTTTCACAAGCTCTTTAAGTCTGTTTACTCATCTGCAAAATGGGGTTCAGGGGAGGATTACATGAGATGATAGATATAAACATTTAGCATGGTGTCCAAAAGAGTCCCTTCTTAGTAGACATCCATTCCCTTCCTTTCTCCCCCTTCCCATTCTCCCTGCCTTCCTGGTGAGGCTCTGTATCAGAAAGGCTGGCCCTGGGATTTCTCAGTGACTTCCCTCCTGGGCCTCTTTGGAAGAGGGTGGAAATTAGCAAGGATAGGGAGGCCTCTAAAATGCATCCTGTAGACTCTCCTGTTACTTTGACACTCTGTGATGGGCAGTCATTATTGTGATAGTCCCCTCTCTCTGCTGCTTCCTGTCTTCTGAAGGATCTGAGGGCCCTTTCAGGAAAAGGAAGCAGAACAGAGGAGTCAGTGGGTTTTGTTCATTCATCACCTCATTCACTTAACAAAGACTTTATGAGCTCCTCTCGCAGGCCAGTATTATGCTCAGCACCAGGATGGGTGATGCAAAAGAGACACAGTTCCTGCCTTTACAGAACTCATCATCTAGTATAAAAATAAGCAAACATTAATCAGCTAATAAATAAATATAAAATGGCAACTGTATTTAGTGATCTAAAGAAAAAAGTGCTATAAGGTGTCACGTCGTGAGTAATAACATTTGAACTGAATGCTGAAGGATGAGTAGGTGTGAACTAGGCACAAGGGCCAGGAGGAGTGGCCCTCGCAGAAGGCAGACCATATGCAAAGCCTCTGTGACACGAAGGAGATGCTGAATACAAAGGACAGAGAGTCCAAGGATTGGAACAGAAAGGAGGGGGCCATGAGCAGAAGGTGTGAACGTATCTACACAGGGCCCGGTGAATCATGTTAAGGAGTTTTATCTCTATTCTAAGAGCCTTGGGAATCACTGCAAAATCTTAAGCAATGGTGGCTGGGCAGACTGACATAATCAGATTTAAATTTCTAAAAGATCACTCTGGCCATTGAATAGAGAGAGGATCAGAGGGTGCAGAAGGGCTGGAGGAGACAGTTAAGAGGCCATCGCTTAGGGCTTGACTAGGGGAGGTAGTGTTGCTGATAGTAAGAAGTGGAGAGATAGGAGAGGTATTTAGACCTTTAACAGAACTTTAATTGAGAACATAAATATGCAAACTTCATGGATGCCTACATAGAGACATAGACAGGTTCATGCATGGAGCCTCTCTGAGCCTGTTTCCTAATTTGTAAACTAGAGGTTGGTGGGATTCCGCATCAGCAAACAGTGTGGATCTTGAGGGCACACGAATGAGTTATTCCCATCCTATATAATAAAAGCCTAATATGCAAATTGTCCCCTCAGGCGGTCATTTGACTGAGAGTTACACCGGGAGACCGGGAGTTCGACCGCTTGCTATGACATGCACTGACCATCAGGGGCGGCGCGGAACATGGCAGGCATTGGAGATGCAGTGCCAGCAGCAGGCAACAGTGGAGGTGCTGCCGGCCCCGATGGGTCCCCGATGAAAGCGGGACCTCGGCGGGATGGTGGAGTAGGTGAGTGGGCGGCACCAGGCCAAGGCAGGTGCGAGCGGGGGCCCAATCGCCCCACAGATTGCCCTGCAGATGGCGACCAGCAGTGGCGGTGGCAGGAGGCAGGGCCGCAGCTGGCTTCCAGGCGCTGAGGGAGCCGGGTGGGGTGGGAGGGCCCCCCAGCTGGGGAGGCCCCCAGCCCAAACCGATCACCCCGCAAGTGGGATGGTGGAGCAGGTGAGGGGGCGGTGCCAGGCCAAGGTGGGGTGCCAGGCGGGGCTGTGAGGCTGGGGGTGCGAGCTGGGGCCCAATATCCGCAGGCCACCCCGAGGGACCCCACCTGTGCACAAATTCGTGCACCTGGCCTCTAGTTATTAATAATGTAGGCTCCTTAAGGTATTCGCCAATGATACATCTGATAAGGGGTTAATATCCAAAATTTATAAAGAACCTAAACAACTAAAAACTAAAAACAAACAATCCAATGAAAAAGTGGACAGAGGACCTGAATAGACACTTCTCCAAAGAGGGCATACAGATGGCCAATAGACATATGAAAAGATGCTCAAAATCACTAATCATCAGAGAAAGGCAAATTAAAACCACAATGAGATATCACCTCACACCTGTCAGAATGGCTATCACCAATAAACCCACAAACAAAGTGGTGAAAGTAGTGGCATTTGAATGGTGGAAATATGGGGTATTTTTAAATTCTATTCTATTCTATTCCATGTTATTATTTTTTTTTTCAAATGCTGAAAGCAAGTCACTTTGTTTTTCAAGACTCACTAATAAAGTCCAACCTGTTCTGTTAGAGGCAATTCCATGATCTAGTTACTCAATGCCCTGTTATTAGATGTATGGGATTGCTACCAGTTTTTGCCATTATAGTGCTGCTCTGAACATCCCTGTAACTATTTCTTTGTTAGCATTTCGTGATTTTTTCCCCCCCTTAAGAGGATTTCTAGAGGTAGAACTACAAGGACAGAGGATGTGTAAAATTATAGGAGAATTTAATATTTATGGTCATATTAGCTCCCTGAAAAATTGTACCAAATAAACTGTTTATAGTTTGATGTCCTAATATGTTCAGTTAATGAATATGTTAGTTATATACACATTGCTGCATAATGATTATCCCCAAATTTAGTAGCTTAAAACAATAAGCATTTATTATATCACTGTTTCCGTAGGTGGCTTGGCTGGCGCCTCTGGCTTAGGGATTCTCAGAAGGCTGCAAGCCAGGTGCCGGCCAAGGCTGTTGGTCAGAGACATTGTTTCTTGCCTTGTGGACCTCTCTAGAGCAGTGGTCGCCAACCTTCCGGACCTCCACGGACCACCGGTTGGCAACCGCTGCTCTAGAGGATACTCATCACATAGCAGTGGCTTCCACTAGATCCAAGGCACCAGAAGAGGGAGAGGGTGTCAAGCAAGATGGAAATCACAGTCTTTTCATAGCCTAATCTAGGAAGTGACATCCCATGACGTTTTGCTCAGCAGAAGCCAGCCACTAGGTCCAGCCACACTCCAGGGGGAGAGATGACACAACAGCAGGTGGGGATTACTGGTGGCCACTTATGGGCTACCCACCACACTGGGATTTGTGCCTGCCCTCAGAGCACAGTGTGGTGGCCTTGTCTTCTGGGGTCTGTGTGAACGCCCCGCAGTGCCTGGTGGAGCAGCTCAGGCTGGAGGCCGGGGTGGAGAGGATCAACAGTACTGCATGCAGAATGCCTGCAAGGATGCTCTGCTGGCCAGTGTTCCAGCTGGAAGCAACCCTTCTGGGAACCCAGATCCTGAGCTTTCCTCTGGAGACTAGGAAAGAAGTTCACTGAGGAATGCCTTCAATGCCAAGTGATGAATGACTGCCTCCAAGTCTCAAGAAGACATTTTTCTCTAAACAAATGACTTTCAGATATTTCAGACCTTTCCTGTGGCCTGGTACCATAGCCAGAATTCTACAGAAATGGATGAGTTTGTACTCAAATAAAGAATCTGGGGGAACCCAGACT